TTTAATAAATTGTATTAAAATAATATATTAATTTTTGATAATTACATTAGTCAACGATATTAATACATCAATCTCTTATCAGGCTTTATCCCTCACCCTTAGGCCGGATTAAGTTATATATCATTTTGATGTATTAAGATATTATGCTGTATAAGCTTATACTATACGATGGTCACACCAAACAACTGAAAATGTCATAACGTATAGTATAAGCTTATACTATCATGCCTTACACGTCACGCCAAACAGGCCCTAAGAGAATGAGATTAAGCCTGATAAGGGATTGATGTATTAATATTACTCACAAGTACACTTTTCAAAAACTAATATATCGTTTCAATATTAATATATTAAAATTAATTTTTTAAATATTAAAGTATATTATCTTATACAATACCATACCAAACGTTGGATAGTATTAAAATTTAGTCAAGTCTTATACAATTGGATCTTATATTATTAGATCTTATACTATCATGTTCATCCTATATTATACACCAAATATGCCTTTAAACCTTTTATGTTGATAATAATAATTGTTGGAACCATTTCCACGGAAAAACAAAAATAATTGCTAACGGCACTGCATTTGGGCTATCACATGGGACCTTGGGCTGGGCCGAAATTTGTTGACCCCAAAGTTCGGGTCATCTCGCCTCCGACCCACACGAGATGTTATTCAAGTTATCCTGAAATTGGTCGCCTTGACTTTTACAAATAACAAGAGGATTAGGGGTGTAAATAGGACAAGTTAGGTTAGATTTTGGTCTTCTTGACCTAAGTCTATGTAAAAAAATATTCAGCCTATATATAGGGATGTGCATGGAGCGGTTCATAACTGATTTTAACAAAAATCAAACCGAACCAATTTTAAACGATTTGATTTTCAAATCGAACCGATTTTTTCTTTTAAAACTGGTTTTTAATTTTCTAAACTGGTTGGAAACCGCTTCCAAAATTGGTTTATAGTTTATAACCGGTTTTGATTTAAAACCGGTTTTGATTTAAAACCGATTTTAATTCAAAATCAGTTTTAAATCAAAATCGATTATGAACCATAAATCGGTTATCAAGTTCAAAACTGATTTTTAACAAATTAAAAATTAGTTTTTGAAATTATGTTATATTTATGAGTTCTGGAAAGTTTTTACTGGAAATACGAGGGAAGAGTTAATAAGTTAATCCAAGGTGTAGAAAATGTCTGACATAGAGCCTGGTTGTGCAGAAAATTATTAATTTTTCTACCATTACGAGGAAGATAAAACTAGAATTTAATACCGGTGGAATCCAAATCGTGTATGAATTAACACCAACAACAAATATAGTATTTAAAAATTGAAGGTACTCTGCCCTTAGTGAAGTTGAGGCGTCACTTTGATATCTTGAAAAAGTTTCCAGTTGTGAAAGTTTTTGTGAGTATATGTTTTTGCAAACTGAGAGTGCTAATACAATTTATTACATTAATTAATTACCTTCTTACCTGGAAAAACTGATTCTGCTTTAGATTTGGAGCGCGTCAAGACATGAACACTATGGTTGTCTGCAAATATTGTTAGTTAAGAACATAAAGTTACCTTAATTGTTATACATATACCAGCAGAAGCTGAGAGTTCAAATGATATAAATAGGCAAGTAAGAGATTTTAATATTGATTATAAAAATATTTTTTTTTTAAATTTGTTCTGGTTTGTATGTGGTTATTTTTGTTTTTTGGGAAAAAAAGTTGTTACTTTACATAAGAAGTGTTTTATTAGGACGCGACCTTTCGATTTATGTGAAATTTTATTTTTTAAATAATGTTTTCTACTTGAACTGGTTAACTTTTTCTGCTAGTTTATTGTTTGGAAGTTTGAGTTAATTGACTAATATAATAGGCATGAAAAAAAAAATATTTATTTGTTCTTTAATTGTAGAGTAGTTTGGTTATAGATAACCATGAATAACCAATTATTTTTGTGGTTTGGTAAATAACCAGTTTATAAAATAAAATGCAGTTTTATATGAAAACAGTTTTTAAAATAACCGATTTTTAAAATGTGGAGCAGTTTGGTTATGGATTGGTTTTATTTTTTTGGACATTTTGAACACTCCTACCTATATGGTCTATTAAAGACTTTGTTTTATAGGTCAGGCCTGACATATTTTTAAAAGTTAGAAAGCTTGATATGGCCTACAGGCCTCCCAGTGCAAATACTGAGAAAAAAGAAAAATTGTATAGAGCAAAGAAAGTTCCATTCACGCATGCACTAATACTTCTCACGAGAAATAAAGAATGACAAACAAGAATCAACATAATACCGTAACTCTATAATGTATATCAGAGGGGAATTAGAGTTAAAGAAATGAGAAAAATAAGAAAGAAATACAATTGGGTCAACCAAAGACGAAACTTAGAGACGAGAGTGAGAAGTCACTTTGAAGTGGCGGTGCACAAAAGAAATTCGGGTTGGTACTTTTGTCAACCAGAATAAATATATTATTTTATTTTATTTTAAAAAATTAATTAGGACAACCTATAAGGCTTTAGGTCAGGCTTGACAAAGTTGGTCTATGACCTATTTGTTAAAATGATTTTCTTGTAAGCCTACGCTACATTTCAGAAAGGCTAAGCTAGGCTCAATATAAGTCGGGATGTAGTCAAGCCAGACTAGATTGTCCCATTTACACCTCTAGTGACGATGTAAATCAAACTTATACAAATAAAAAATTTATTAACTAAAGGTACGAATAACGTAAATATATATATTAAAAAGGGTTATATTTATTTTATGTTGCATAAGATAAATAAGTTTCATACACACACAAAGTAGAGATGGGTTCCACATTTATTTTTTCCTTTCCTCTTACATATGGGTCTCACTTATAATTTTATTTCCATAACATGATACAACTATTTTTCTATAATATAAGATAAATATAATCATATTAAAAAAATTTGGAATATTATCAAATTCCAGCCATGCCTTGCTCGGGACAGTCACCCAAACAATGGGAAATGGGTACACACAGCACAGGTACACCACTTGCTTAAAGAATGAGGAGATCAACCCTTTCGATGTCTCAAATTTTTCCACTTCGTAAACAGATAGATGTAAGAAATAACAAAATGAATTTAGGGATTGTTTGGTACACGATTTTTTTTTTCGAAGAATTTTAATTTTTAAAAATATGATTTTTACATTCAATTTAAGATAATATCTGAAAATTTAAAATTTACAGAAAATTATTTTTCCAAAATTTTTAAGATAAGTCATGTACTGAACGGCCCTTTATGGTTTGCCTGAGAGAGAAGGTTGGAAGAAGTATGTTAAAATGGATATAAAAATTATTTTTTTAAAAAAATTAAGATTTGAAATAAAATAATAATAAAAAACCCTTGAGATATGTTTAGCCTTGAAGTATGTTAACTTGATAGGGAACAATTAATTTGATTGAATTAGTCAATTAATCAATAAATTTATAAACAATTTAAAATAAATAAATAAATGAGTTTATTTGGTATACTAAACTTGTAATATAGTTTGAAAAAACAGAAAGACTTCTAATATGATTATTTTACTATTTTACTTTTAATAAATTATATTGATGCTAAGAAAAATAAAAATATAAACAGGATGCTTTTTTAAGTGTACAAATAATGATAAATTTTAATAAATTAAAATCATAATATGTCTTACTTATTTATTTGTTATTTAACAAATACAATTGATAAAAATTTGTAGTGTTTGAGTAATTTAAAAAGCAAATTGCAGATTTTGATGAAAAAACTAAAAAGCCTCACGTTACTTTGGCAATCGTTGTCAGGTTGCAGTACGTATCAAAATCTGATTGGATGTGGTAGAAATAAGCACAATAATTGCATTCCATAGATAGCAAACCAAGTATCTTTAATTGTTTAATTGAGACCAACACAACACGAGCTGTTTTATAGCGTACAATATCTGTCAACCATGTGAAATGAAATTTAAAATATAATTCAATCCGTCAATCATCCTTAAAAAATTAATAGCAACAATGATCACATACGCAATCCACAATTACGGCTGTAAACAGGATATGTTACATGAGACATTGAGTTAAATAAGTTAGATTAGATATGTATAAAAGAATTTAGACCCAGCCTGATCTGATAATTTTATATAGATTCCAATTATAAATTTGATTTAATCTATATAAAAAATTAAAATATTAACCTAAGTTTGTTAGTCTGTTTAATTTTATTAAATATTTAATAATTGAAAAAGTTAAAATAATATTATTTTATTAATCAAAATTATTAAAATAATAATTTTATTTATTTTCTTTAAAATAAATAACATTATATAAGCGAATCTATCGACTTACAGAACTGATATGCAAAAGAAAATTTATGACCTATATTATAAATAATTTTTTTTAAAAATATGTACATATTATATTTAACTTTTTGTAACTTTTTGTAATAGATCAAGTATGATTTTAATATAGATTAAATTGTAGATCCCTCAAACCCGACCTAATCGATTTGTAACAGTATCCACAATCTCTTTCATAATCCAATAGTAACAACAATCCAAGCTTGCACTCATAATCAAGTAAATCTAGCAAGTAACAACACATTAATATATGGGTTTTGTATCTATAATTTAACATGACCACAACAACTTTCCTACACACACAACATTTTGTGGGACTCACAATTTTTGAAACCAAAAAAAAAAAAAAAAAGCTCTGGCATGCAAAACGAATCTCTATAACATAACACACTCACTTTTCCTACGACATAACTCTTATTAAACCCTTAATATATAACAACATAACCTGTCTAAAGCAAAAGCTGCAATTCATCGCTCTCTCTCTCTCTCTCTCTAAACATTCTGCATCCATTCGGCGCAGTGATTGAAAAAAGACAAAATACTTTAGTGAAAAAAAGGGAGGGAGAAAACTGAATAGAAAACAATTAAAGTTGAAGATATTATAAATAAAAAAAAGAAGAAAAAGAAAAAAAGAGTGAAGGAAGAGAGGGCAATGCTGGATGCAGCAGAGTCAAAGGCGAAGAAAGAGGAGGAGTGTAAGTGAGTAGATAGATGGGTGGTGGTGGAACACTCGTGGAAGGGATTCGTCGCTTGTTTCAAAGACGCGCTTCTGCTACTAAGGACGACCATATCCACAACAACAATGCCAATAATAGCCGCGTCTCTGTGAGAGATTTACGCGCACAATTGGCCTCTATTCCCAATCACGATCACCAAACACCCATTCACCAACACTTTGATATCTCTCCCTTGAAGCCCATCAAAGTCCCTACACTTACCCTCTTCAAACCTCCTTCTTCCATGGATCCTCACAAAAAGGTTACTTTTTTATCCTATCGCCCCATCTGGGGATGTATTTTTTTTCTTTTTCTTTTTTCTGTTTTTAATGCGATCTGCCTCTGTTATCTTGTTTGTTTTATTGTTTGGCTTATTGGGTACTGCTCAAGTTTCGTTTTTTATTTCCTCCCTTGTTGTTTTGTGTAATTCGGTTGGATCGGTGTTTCTCTCTCTCTCTCTCTCTCTCTAAAAATCATGGGATATGTTATGTTTGGTGTCCCATAATATCTGGCTGAAGTTTTATCTGGGAAAATGTGAAAGGACAGGAAATGCTAGAGAGGTGAACGTAAATTAAGTAAACTATTGTTTGATGCTTATGGCAGCTATTGTAATTGCTTTAATTGCTGGTAAGAGTTAGCATTCAGCAATTACCTGAACTGGTAGCGGACAAGGCTCTGAGTTTGCCTCATCATGTGTAGTTTTCCTTTCCTCATACTCTTACTGTGTGTGTCCAAGAGGCATAGTTCAGGATGATTTTGATTAATTCCCAGGTACTTTTCTTAAAGCACTAGTTTTGGCAGTGTGTGTCCCGGAGTGAGATAGTATTTGATCACCACTCCCCCATTAAACCACATTAATCCTAGGCTCTTTTCTGGTTTTGAACTCATGACCTTTCAATCACAAATGAGTAGTTTTATCACTTCTCCAACCTCGCCTCTTAGATAGTATTTTGACCATTTATCATAAATTGCGTGGTGTATGAGGAAATGCAAATTTCATGGCATTGATACTTTATGTGAAATTGATAGATTGTCTCCTCTCCTAGTGGATATTCCCCTGCTTCCGTGCATCTCTGTGTGTTACAAGAATATCTTCAATAATCTCGTGGTACTCAAGACTCAACATTTTGTTAAAATTAGAAAAAAATAACCCACATAACTTAAATTATTCCATCCAGTACTTTATGGTTGATGCCACTTGTGTCTTATTTATTCATACTTTTAGAAGAGAGTAGCTACTCATGTAGCACTGAAGATATAATCGTGTTTTACTCGTTCGTTTACCATAAAAGTTGCAGTAGGTTAAAAGAATAGATATGATTGTTATATAGTCTTTAAATTCTGTTTCCAACACGTATACGTCAACAATATTACATAATGGTTTCTGGTTATCAAACAGGGTGAGTCAGAGTTTTTTACTGAGTATGGAGAGGCTAGTCAATACCAGATCCAAGAAGTTGTTGGAAAAGGAAGTTACGGTGTTGTGGGTTCTGCCATTGACACTCATACTGGTGAAAAGGTTGCAATCAAGAAAATTAATGATGTTTTTGAACATGTATCAGATGCCACACGGATCCTAAGAGAAATTAAACTCTTGCGGTTGCTCCGACATCCTGATATTGTAGAAATTAAGCATATTATGCTTCCTCCTTCACGGCGAGAGTTCAAGGATATCTATGTTGTGTTTGAGTTGATGGAATCTGACCTCCATCAAGTAATTAAGGCAAATGATGATCTTACTCCTGAGCACCACCAATTTTTCTTGTATCAACTTCTTCGGGGCCTGAAATATATACATACAGGTATCCTTATTACTGGTCCTTGACTTTTTCAGGTAGTGATATTAAGCTAATATAGTATTATTCTTCTTGCAGCAAATGTGTTTCATCGTGATTTGAAGCCAAAAAATATTCTTGCTAACGCTGATTGCAAACTAAAGATATGTGATTTTGGGCTTGCTCGAGTTTCATTCAATGATGCTCCATCAGCTATATTCTGGACTGTAAGTAGTCGATCTGATACATTTATCAATTATGTTCCGTCTTTTAAGAATTTCAGTTACAAATTGCAATCCGGGTATCTCTCTAAACGTCTTTCTGACTCACTTTTTCCTACTCTTACTAAGGACTATGTTGCAACTCGGTGGTACCGTGCACCTGAACTATGTGGTTCTTTTTTTTCAAAAGTAAGCTTCATTTCTATTTTGACAACACCTTTTCTTGGGTTATGTATGACATAAGAAGTTGAATACAGTTAAGTATTCAAATGCGTAGAATTTTAAAATCTGTCTTTTGCAGTATACCCCCGGAATTGATATTTGGAGCATTGGATGCATATTTGCAGAAATGCTCACTGGGAAGCCGTTGTTTCCCGGAAAAAATGTGGTGCATCAATTGGATCTCATGACTGAATTGCTTGGTACTCCTCCTCCCGAGTCCATTGCAAGGGTTAGTTTATCAAAATCTGCTGCAAGTTGTGACATGGTGTAATGAGATTAATTCTAAACTTCTAATTAAAAATTCTTCCTGTATCGTTTTTAAGATATGGTTTGTTGTAAAATATACCTTTCAGGCTTAATTTTACTCCTCTCCCTTGTCCTCCTGTATATAATTCTTAATCTTAATTGTACAGATTCGAAATGAGAAAGCTAGAAGGTACCTAAGTAGCATGCGAAAAAAGCAACCAGTTCCATTCTCCCAAAAATTTCCAAATGCAGATCCGTTGGCTCTTCATTTACTGGAGCGCCTACTTGCATTTGATCCTAAAGACCGTCCAACAGCTGAAGAGGTTTATCTTCTATCACCTATATATAATTAACAAAAGGGAAACTTCACTGATAATTACCAAAGGGGAGATTTGATTATTTCTGTTATGGTTGTGATATCAGGCATTAGCTGATCCTTACTTCCATGGTTTGTCAAACATGGATCGTGAACCATCCACTCAACCCATTTCAAAACTTGAGTTTGAGTTTGAGAGAAGGAAATTGACCAAAGATGATGTTAGAGAGTTGATTTATCGAGAGGTATGGCCATACATTTCTGTCAGTCCTGCTTCGATTTATTGTCTTCTCTGTGCTGCTGTAATAATGATATATACTGAAATAAACAGATTTTGGAGTATCATCCCCAGATGCTCCAGGAATATCTTCGTGGTGGAGATCAAACCAGCTTCATGTACCCAAGGTAGATGTGCTTTTATGCTTGACACTTTATTGAATGCTCGATGCATATATCAAACCAGATGTGCATCAACCACCTGTCTGTTTTGTCACAAGGCATAGTCTTTCATTATTGAAATAAGATATTAAGCCAGCTTCTACTGTATGGCTTTCACAGTACCTAATTTTATAACAATTATCAGGAGCCCCTGTATGCATTTATTGTTGTTGCACCACGATTCTGTTGTATTTTTGTTTTTTCAAATTTCTGTACAGAACTAGAACCTGCATTAGCAAAACACTGGAATGCTTGTTTTATTTGCCTTAGTTTTAAAGTCTTAATTCCTTTTGAATATAAATTTTTATTTGTGCTCGTACTTGTAGCAGTTAAAATTTTGACTCCTATGATATTGCTGATGGTTAATTTTTTGTGTTTTGTATGTCATCTAAGAACTCTAATATGGAATGTGGTTTATTTGAAATTTAAGTTTTCCATGCTTTGGTTAGTAGTTGGTAATTCTATGTTGTCGTGTTGCACAGTGGGGTTGATCGGTTCAAGCGACAGTTTGCACATCTCGAGGAGCATTATGGCAAAGGTGAACGAAGCACTCCATTGCAGAGACAGCATGCCTCCTTACCTAGGTAAGTTTTGGTTAAACATTTGGTTCTCTTGGCAGTTTCAAGCCTTGTTAGTAGTATTTTCTAGGTCCAAACTAGGTGAACCTGTTCAAATACTGGATTTTCAACTTGCACACTGAACAACAGCCTTTTGTCTTGTTCTTTTGGATGTTTAATTTGATAATAATTTTATTAATACCCTCGTGGGTTTTAAATTTTGATCCAGATTATTAATGTCTGTTCACAGCTGAGTTTGGCAGACAAGCCCGTGAACCTTTTCTCTGGTATTATGTGAAGTCATATCATATGCATTGACAATTGTAACTTCACTTCTTGCAGAGAGCGAGTTTGCGCTTCCAAGGATGAAAATAATCAAAATAACGATCCTGAAAGGCCAACTGTATTAAATCTTTCAAGTCCTCCGGGTTCTGATGGGACAGATGCTGGAAACTCAGATGTTCAAAATGGACCCTCCAAGCCAAACTACAGCGCGCGTAGCTTGTTGAAGAGTGCCAGCATTAGTGCTTCAAAATGTATTGGTGTGAAACAAAGTAAAGATCCAGAGGTATCTAATAATTGGTTGCGATTTCTGTGTTCTGGCAAGTCAGATCTCAGTGTTTTCTTAGATTTTCCACATCCATCTTGCATATCTTGGTACTTAGAATTCGTTTATATAGTGATAGTGAAACCTTACAAAGTAGCACTTTCTATCTTTTGCCATTTTTTTGACTTAATTTTAATAGGAAAAAGATGCAGTTCGTTGTTGTTTTGGTCTGTCTGGCTTATTTCATGTTGTGTAAGTATATGCTCAATAGACATCTGCCTTGAAATGATCTCTGATGTTTACATTCAAATTTGTACTCAACGAAATACATTTCTGTCATATTTATGTTGCCTGTATTCCTTTTGTATTAGGAGGAGCCAATTACTGAGGTCAATGAAGAGACAGTGGATGGATTGACACAGAAGGTTGCTTCCCTCCATGCTTAGTTCAAGCCTGATTCATATTGATCTAACTTCCATGCTCTGGTCCTTTACACAAAGAGAAAGAGGTGGTGCCGTGGTGGCTTGAAGCTTTGCATAGAAATCCTCCCTGTTGTTTGTGCTAGAGGCTAACTTTAGGACTCTATCTAGCAATTTTTTATTTTTAATTTTGAATTTCAGCAGTAAGTTTTGTAATTAAGTATTTATTTGTGTGTGGAAACGCAATGTATACTATTCATATTTATTATGAAAACAAGAAGGATGAATGGTTCTAGTTACATTAATTTCTTCTCGTGAGAATAATAGCCAAAAATCTCTTCGCCTGTCTTTGAAGGTTTCAGATACAACGCATACACTGTATATGCTCAAGAAAGTTACCAAGACTTTTTGTGACTCAGCATGCACGTTATGGGCGGGGGACATGTAAAGCATAAATAAGGTCCTTAAAACAGTACCGCTAAGAGAGGTCAGACACAAAAACATAAAGAAGGGGAGAGGGAATTAATGACCGGCTCAAATCATAAATTTTCTGATGATTCACTCTACATTTTTAATGGTTCGTCCATTATACTACACGAATGATAGCGTGGGGTAGGAGACATGAATGAGCTACTTAAAATAGGACATCCTATCAGTTGAACACATATTCCTCTAGTATATTTTCAGACTTGAGAAGCTACAAGTTCTACAGTTTTTTGTAGATAAAATACAAAACAGGGTTATCGAGATGAAACCTAATAAAAGAGTAGTTAAAAGATGAAATATTTTGTATATATTGGGAAAAAGATTTGTCCTTTTAAATGATACAAGTTATGTCATTTCACTCTTACAAAGAAGTAGGATCCACATTTTTATTATTATTTTTTTGTCCATTCTCTCTTCCCCATCATCTATCTCTTTCTCTCACTTAAAATGACATAATTTTACATCCTTTAAAATAACACACTTTTTCCATTTGAATAGGCAAAATGGGTGAGTGGCAGGCCATGCTTGCTAGGAGTTGCTGTGGCGCCCAGGTTTCTTTCTTGTGTAGCAGTGCTATGACAAGTTGCCAAATATTTTATGAAGAGCAATTTCTCATAATTCAGCTTACACTTCGATTTATTCTTTGCATGTTATGCAATCTTTTTATCTTCTCTGTGATTTGCATTCTGTGATATAATTCAAAGAGATGCCGTATTCCAACTTCCATCAGACATGATACCTCTTTGTCATTCTAAAGTCGTCGTCCAACTAACTCAAATTTTCTATTCACCCTGTCAGTTTGATTCATTCACATGGACAATAATTCCATAACCAACAGGGAAGATATAAATGCGCTTCTCACTGCTTTGAGCACTTCTTCAAACACATATAAATGGGCCCAGATAGTACAGCTGATACATGTCCTTAGCTAAATTTTCATCATGTCTCTCCATTCTTACCAATAATCCCCACAAGAACAAACACCCTCATTGAAGTGATGAAAGCGGTGAGAATCCCTTAAGATTATAAACCTTCCAACAATCTTGGATATGTGCTTGATGGCATTATGACAGTCTTGACAAACACGCAAGTTTTTCATGACACGAATTGGTCTGCCAGCTGGTATAGTCAGAATTCCAAACGCTACAGCTAATTTCTCACTGTGATACTTGAGCATATGCTCCTTCTCTTCCTCTTCCACGTCATGCAAAACCAATTTTGTTGAAGAAACATACCCTTCAAGCTTCATTTTTAGATCTAACTCTTCTAAGAAGGCATATATTCTATCTTTTTCAGGGTGGAAACAATCCCCAACCGTGAATGTATGAATCTTGTTTTGTACCTCAACCCAACTATACCCAGGTATTTTCTGTACACCAACATCCCTCATTTTTAATCTCATCTTACCAACATCAACCCATCTGCCCGAAGCAGCATATAGATTTGAAAGAAGAACATACATTCCGGAGTTATGAGGTTCCATCTTAAAAACCATCTCAGCAGCCTTCTCACCCAGTTCAGTATTGCCATGAATCCGGCTTGCACCGAGTAGAGCTCCCCATGATGCAGCACATGGCTCAAAAGGCATGTTTCTCATTAAGTTCTGTGCTTCTTCCAAGCGGCCAGCTCTGCCAAGAAGATCAATCATGCAAGTATAATGTTTTGAAGTTGGCGTTACACCGTAATCCTTATTCATGGAATAAAAATATTCAGTTCCCTTGTCAGTCAAGCCAGTGTGACTACAAGCAGATAGAACACCAACCTGAAACACAATTTAAAGAAGAATCAGCGAAATGTTATTACATGTAGGATAGGGTCAAAAGGAATATGATTGAATTGTAGACAAAACAATGTTAACGCCACCACTTTAGTTCATTTCCCCATGATTGATGTTAATTATCAGATTCATTTACAAGACAAAGAGGAAAGCACCAAAGCAACTATTAGCTAAATTGTATCCATGGAAAGAAACATCACTGCTACAAAGAGATTACTGTAAAAATGAAGATACCAAATAGAGGAGGAAAACAAAAGGTGACTCCTATCTTATCAATGCAGGGATAATCTATTTGACAACTCATGAGATAAATAAAGCCAAGTGGTTCAATAACACAAGTGAGATTATACTAAGCAAAAGAACTTCATGTCTACATTCGCACAAGTAGTATCTCTAATAGAATTTGCCCATCCATGTTGATGATATTGACAAAAGAAAGACGAAGTTAGAGAGATGGATGCCAGGCAAAAATTGCAGACTAAGGCAAATGGGGAAGACACCAAAGCCCAAAAAGATTATGGAATATTTCTCTTTTACTCTTACTCTGTCAGCATTCTCGTATAACAGAATTTAAAAGCACACAGGACCGTGCATGATTCATAACTAAGCAAGGAAATTTAACTTCTCCAGCATAATGTCACACAAATGATGGGGGTATCTTGCTACAAAATCCAACCAATTTGAAATAAAATGTTATCTTTCATACATAGGTTAATGGAACCTCTAGCTCATTCATGTTAGTAACATACATATTTTGTAACGATCCATCCCAATCACTTAGGTAAGTAACATTCTTAACACCATATATTAGCGGTGTCAATTTCTTTATAGACAAATGACAAAGTGACAGCATGAATTGAAGTACCAAGATGAAAATAACAAGATAACAGGAAAATAATAAGACTGGATTCAGAGGCTCCATATGGTGCCAATACACTACAGTAGCAACAAGGCATTTCCACAGGAGATGATTTGATCATATTAATCAAGAACGGTTCAGTAAGAGTTAACAGATTATGGATAAATTAAAATAAAATTAGTAAATACAAGTATAATTGATGACAGTGGTTCACACTTGCATACAATGGGTTAACGGAGTAAAAATTCATACTGAAGGCAAGCTCTATATAAAATCTAAATACATATGAAATGTTTAAAATATATACCATAGTAATCTCATCGGGTTTAACACCTGCTGCCTTCATTGACTCAAATATCATTAAAGCCTGTCCGCCAAATCCATGCCTAGCATAACCAGCTAACATTGTATTCCAAGAGACGATGTCTTTCTCCTCTATTCCTTCAAACACATCATTAGCTTCACCTATATTGCCACACTTAAAATACATTCCAAGAAGTGCATTCCCCACGAAACACCCAGTCTCATATCCCGTCTTCACCACCTGCCCATGGACTTGTTTGCCTAAATCCAAAGCAGCAAGATCAGCACATGTGCTCAAAGCACAACTAAAGGCAGCCCTAGTTAAACTTTCTCCATCTCGTTTCATCTCCACAAACATGTTCAAAGCCTCTTCATAGTGACCATTCTGAGCATAACCAGCAATAATAGCCGCCCAAGAAACACAATCACGTTGTGGCATCATATCAAACAATTTCCTAGCCTGAGCTATATCACCATTCTGTCCATAGCCAGTAACCATGGTATTCCATGAACTTATATTACGACAAGGCATTGCCTCAAACAATTCCCTTGCCATGTCCATTTTCTTGCATTGCACATAACCGGTGATCATCGAATTGTATGAAATCTCATTTTTCTCATGCATTTCATCAAAAATTTTTTTTGCTTCATCCAACCTTCCATTCTGCACATATCCAGACACCATTGCTGTCCACGTGAACACATCCCGTATTGGAGATTTGTCAAACAATCTCCTAGCTTCTGACATATTTCCATCCTGGGCATAACCTGAAATCATTGTGTTCCAGGAAACTTCATCCCTAATAGGCATTTTGTCAAAAAGCTGCCTAGCATCACCCAACATCTTCCTCTTCACATATCCGCCCATCAAACAATTCCAAGAAATCAAATTCCAGTCTGATTTCGACTTAAACAACCGACAAGCCTCCTCAGTTCTCCCATTCTGAACATATGCGGCAAGCAGCCCATTCCAGGAGATGGAATCCTTACCGGGCATCCTATCAAAAACCTTCCTTGCCTCATCAACATACCCATTCTGAGCATACCCAGATAACATGGCATTCCACGAAACAACATCCTTTTCAGGCATTAAATCAAATACTTTGCGGGCATCCCCAAGTCTGCGGTTCCTAACACATCCCGTGAGCATTACATTCCAGGAAAACAAGTCCCTCTCAGGCATTTTGTCAAACAGATCCCTTGCAAGGTCAAATTTTCCGTTCCTCAAGTACCCAGATATCATGGCGTTGTAAGAGACAGAGCTTCGACGAGGCATGGAATTGAAAACATGGAGAGCGGAGTAGCAGTGGCCATTGCGCATGTGGGTAGAAATAGCTTTGTTCCATTTCACAATATCCGGGTCTTTGTAATTTACGGCTGCTTTTGAGTACCTGGTTCGCCTCTTCGTAGACAGACACCGCAAGTTGCACATACGCAATTGTCTCACAAAGTAGTTTACGCGCATTCCGTTGAAAGCCTTCATCCACATATTGAGGAGAGAAGCCCTCGCTACTCATGTGCTATCTTCAGCATCAACTAATTCGAACATAAGGCAAGTCTAGTATCCACAGAACAACCGGGTGTCATTTGGCAGCCGGCTTGTCCCAGATTTAGGTCTGATAGATTTTTTTTAAGAGGTTACAAGGAATTGAACACAACACCCTACACTACACACAATTTTAACACACACCCCACACCACTGGTCTGAGAGTTTGTTCTACTTTTGTGTTGCTTTTGGTTTAAGTCTCTTTTTGAGTTTTTTAAAAGACTTGTTTAGAATTTTTTTTTTTGATAGACGAGTTGTTTAGAAATTAGGTCGCCTCTAAGCCCCACTCATATTTTTTTAACAAATAATATTTTATTTTATTTTTAAATAAAATAATATCATGTTATTTTTTAATAGAATAAAATCTTTTGATTTTTTTAATTTGTAATATATATATTTTTCTTTTGACAAACACATTTTTCTTAATATTAAATTCTTTCACCGCCATTATACTTTTCTCACCAATTGGTATTGTACGGATTTATGTATCTTGTTCTTTTTTGTTTTTGTTTAGTTGTATCTTGTTCTTTTTTTGTTGGCATTTATTTTATGTTTGTCTTTTATTATTTTGTTTGTTTCTCTTTATTTTTTAATTATTTTTTATCTCATGTGAGTTGATTGTTTGGTGGACATATTCAGCGTTAAGTTACATTATCCATATTCTCCTTAAATAATTTCTCTACAGAAATTTTGAATTGTAACGTAGTTGTCATTTAAAAATTAATTTTCAAATATATTTATATTTTATTAATTTAATTTGATTGATTTTCACTTTTAAACAATTGCTTCTCTCATATTTAAATATCATATTTGTTTAATCTTAAAATAAATGTTTTTTGTATTCACTTTGGTTCGTTTTTTCTGCAGTTACGGCATATAAGTTATCTGCAGTAAGTCCAATATGACGTTGTTTTGGGACGAAAATCATGGTATTTTTGTAATTTTAATTTATTTCAGGGTTATAATAGTCTTTATATTTATAATTTTTTAAGATTTCAATACCAAAACGACATCGTTTTGGAAATAAATGCAGATAACTTATCTGCAGTAACTATAGAAATATTTTTCCCATTCACTTTTTATACACAAATATATGTGTGTATGTAATATAATGTGTATAAAATTTTTAATTTATTTTAAATAAAATAAAAATTTAATTTTATAATTAAAAATCAATAAAATATAATACAATTCGATTTGATTGATTATTTTTTATTGTAAACTACGTAGTTAAATTTGTAAATATTTTGGATTGTGTTAAACTATTGTACAAATTAATTGTAATCTTTAAAAAAATGTAATTATAATTTATAGTTTATAGAGTATAATATATTATTGGGCATTAGTTTTCCTCTGTCACAGATGATAACCAATCATTCCTGTAGATACATAATATATGGGCCCCATCATTTTTTTTCAAAAACAAAAAACAAAACTAAATGGCACAAGTTTCGATATGTGTGCAGGAAGTGTAACATATTTTTCTGCAACAGAAGATGATGTTTTCCCTATATTATTTTGAATGCTTGATAGTCTTGTTAGGCGAGACAAAATCTTGTATATTTTAAAAATAAGTTAAACCAAACTTATAATTTGATTTATATTAAACTAACAATACAAGGAAAGCTTGAAATATTTTATATAAGTCTAGCTTGTTTAGCCTAAAGTTTGCCTTGATTTGATTTATTTACACCCTTATAATGAGGGAAGGATATTGTGACAACTAAGTTGTGTTACTACCAAGTGACTACCAATCAATCTTACCGTTAGATCGATTATATTGATCCAACGGTTATATTTATTTCCATTTTTGTATGGTCATGATTCTCCAAATTTAATACTTTATATTTATTTTCACCTTTGTATGGTTATGATCTTTCATATTTAATGCTTTCACTTTAAATATGGAGAATCATGATTCATGACCATACAAAGATGAAAATAAATATAACCGTTGAATCAATATAATTGATCTAACGGTGAGATTGATTGGTAGTCACTTGGTAGTAACACAACTTGGTTGTCACAAATCCTTTCCCTTATAATGAAGTACCTTTTTTCTTTCAAGTTTTTGTTTATTTACTAAATATATTCTTTTATAAAAGAAGAAGAAAATTCAAAACATTAGAAAACATTTATTTTTAAATTTTCCTATGTTATCAAAAAAAAAATAGTGTTTACCAAAAAGAGAGAGAGAGTAAAATAGTAAGTATAACTAACGCTTCGTGCTCGATTGCCCGTGTCAGCTTGATGTTGAAAGTTAAATTCTAAAAAGTTTTACACTATCAAAAGGATTTGCATTTTAAATTATTTTATTTTATTCATATTTAAATTTGTTAACACTTGAACAAGAAGGGCAACTTTTACTAGGGGTGTTCGCGGTCTGGATTGGATCGGTTTTGGAAGCAAAACTCATCCGATCCAATCCCTTCGGTTTGATTATGTAATCATCCATTCGGTTTAGATTTCTTTTCAAATCCGATCCGATCCAATCCAATTTTTTTTCGGTTTGGATTGGATCGGTTTTTGGTTTTTTGAAAATCCTAAAATAAGTTTCATGATTATTGTGCAAATAACATCTTTTGTATATATTGGCTTTGTAAAAAAAATAAAATTGAAATACAAAAATATCAGTAAACAATACCATAGTTGATGAGACGTGACTAAGTTTTTTTTTGGGTTTAGTTGATAAGTTAATGAGTCTTGAGTTTAGAAATTTTTTGGCTATGATTGGAGAAAGGACAAGTAGGTGGAGAATAATTAATATATTGGATCGGTTTGGATTGGATCGGTTTTCATCAACCCATCCGAAAACTGATCCAATCCAATTAAAATTTGCGGTTTTCTTTCGGTTTCCAATTTTTCGATTTTCGGTTTATTCGGTTATCGATTTTTCGGTTCGGTTTTCGCGGTTTGAATCGGTTTGGATCGGTTGATGAACACCCCTAACTTTTACTACCGAGGAATTCGAAGACATCTCGTGTTACTTGAAAAATTTGCTATGGATTTCCAAGAGGGCGGAGAGGTGAATGAGGAGTGACATATTTTTCTTTAATATCTTTGAATTTTTATTTAAATGTAGGTATAACTTTATATTAAATTATTCAAATAAGAATTTTATCAATTTTAATTTTATTAACGATTATCATAAAATATTTTAGGGTAAAGTTCAAAATTGTTGAAGAAGATATCATCTTATCATGTAAATATATTCAGTTTGTGTGTAATCTTAGTTGTTTCCTAGTTGTTAGCTTGTATTCCTAGTTTGTTAGTGTAGTTACCATCAGATCCGATGCTGGTACCAGCTTGTGCGTCCAGCTTTCTAGCTCATGTGATCAGCTCCTAGTTTTTAGGATTGTTAAGTTTGTTTATAATTATTTGTATTTTTGTTCAGCCTATTTAAAAAGGCAACCATCAATATATCAAAGCAACATATTGATACCATATTTTATCTTGGTATCAGAGCGATCCGAAACACTTCCGCAAATACGAGTGAGTGTGAAAGCTTGTCTCATCTAAGATGGCAGGAGAAAATAGCAACGCCTTAAAGCCTTCGGATCCTGACTCTCCCTTTTATCTAGGAGGGTCGGATAATCCAGGCGTCATTCTAACCATAGTGCAGCTGCGTGGAGAGGCCAATTATGACAACTAGGCCAAGCTGATGCAAAACGCACTCAGCGCAAAGAACAAACTTGGTTTCATCACTGGCGATGTGAAGAAACCGGAGAAGGATAACGCCGCGGAATGGCGTGCATGGGTCAGGTGCAATTCTATGATCAATGGGTGGATTCATAACACCGTTGATCCTAAGTTGCAACCATTTATTAAATGTTTTGCTGACGTCAAAGACTTGTGGGACGACCTAAAGGAGAGGTATGCTGTTCAGAATTTCCCGAAGCAGTATCAACTCAGAGCTTCCCTCACAAACACACGGCAGCAAGGAAGTACTATTGGTGAATATTACACCAAGCTTCGCGCAATTTGGGATGAGCTCGAAGGTGGCAAGATTTCCAAATCATGTGCATGTGGAGATAATTGTGCAGTGGCCAAGGAGATAGAGGAAGGCAGAGAACATGAACGCGTGTATCAATTCCTTATGGGATTGGATGAAGCACTCTTTGGGAACTTACGTTCTCAGATTCTTAATACATCTCCTCTTCCATCCCTTAATAAAGTTTATGCAACTGTTACACAGGAGGAGACACACCGCGCCATTGCCCGTGGCCATGATGATCGCAGCACTGTCATCGGTTATGCAGCACGCACCGAAGCCAGTGGCGGACAGGATGCACAGGCGCAACGCATGGTTGCGGTCCAGCCAGCAGCTCGTGTTCCATGCCCTCACTGCGGGAAGACCAACCATGATCCATCTCGTTGCTGGAAAATTGTCGGATTCCCTCAGTTTCGTGGTGCACCTCGCGGCCGTGGCAGGGGACGAACAGGAACAGGTGGACGCGGACCCCATGAACAAGCATATGCCGTTCAAACATCAGACGCTATGCAAACAGCAACTGCATCACAAACAGCGGCTGTTCTGTCCTCACCAAATGCAGCTGCATTCTCGGTTCTCACTCCAGAAGTAGTGCATAAACTCATGACATTGGTGGATCACTCTCAGGCAAATCAAACCACCGACAAGTTGTCTGGTAAGGCTACTCAATCACAATGGCTTATTGATAGCGGTGCTTCGCAGCACATGACAGGGTCTCTGGAATTATTAATGGATGTTAGAAAAATCAAACCTCTAGCAGTGGGGTTACCTAATGGTGAAATTACTCATACTGAACAACAAGGGACAATGGTGTTCGAAAACAATTTTACATTGTCTAATGTCTTGTTTGTTCCCCATTTGCGCTGCAATCTGATTTCAGTGTCTCAATTATTGCAGCAGAATAACAACAGAGTAATTTTTACTAATGGAAAATGTATTTTGCAGGACCAAGCATTGATGAGGGAGACTGGATTGGGTGATATTCATGCAGGAGTTTATGTGTTTCAACCAAAGCATGCTTCAGTTTCTACCGTAAGAGTTCAGGAGTCTGCAGAGTTGTGGCACAGACGGTTGGGTCATGCATCCTATGAAGTTGTGTCTTTGCTTCCGTTATTTTCTCATAATTCAGCTAAAATTGCAGCGAATAAAACGGCATGTGCCATTTGTTGTCGTGCTAAGCACACTAGAACTATGTTTCATTCAAGCAGTAATCGAAGTAAACAATGTTTTGATTTAATTCACTGTGATACGTGGGGACCCTATCGTTCTTCTTCCTCTTCAGGTGCACATTATTTTTTAACAATCGTTGATGACTTTAGTCGATTTGTTTGGGTGTATATGTTAGCTGAAAAGAAGGAGACTTGCGATCGTATTCATAAATTTTTGGCTATGATCAGAACCCAATTTGGAAAAATGATAAAAATTTTGCGTTCTGATAATGGGACTGAATTTAAATCAAATAAATTACTGCAGTTGTATCATGAAAATGGGATAGTTCATCAAACGTCTTGTGTTTATACACCAGAACAAAATGGGCGTGTAGAGCGAAAGCATCGACATATTTTAAATGTTTCTCGGGCGTTATTGTTTCAAGCTGATTTACCCATCGATTTTTGGGAAGAAAGTGTGCTTGCAGGGGTCCATTTGATTAATAGAACACCATCCAAAATTCTTTCAGGCAGTACACCACATGAGTTACTATATGGGGTGGTCCCAAATTATGAACACTTGAAATTTTTTGGATGTTTGTGTTTTGCTAATGTCAGACCAAAGCCTACGGATAAATTTGCATCTCGATCTCGCAAATGTCTGTTTGTAGGATATCCTACTGATCAAAAGGGGTGGAGAGTATATGATTTAGAAAATAGAGAATTTTTTGTATGCAGGGATGTCAAATTTTATGAAGAAATTTTTCCTTTATCATCACATGTTGCACCAAAAAATGCGCCTGCATTATCCTTGCTGCCTCCTTCTATTCAGGTCACGGGTGAAGATGCGTCCAATAATATGTTGTCCGCCCATGATAATGCTTATACACCTGCAATTGAATACTATGCAGAAGGCGCCGATCAAGTACTTACACCTGTATCACATGCAGACGACAGGGGGAGTAATATTTACGTAGACGTCGAACAAATTCATGCTCTCGAATCTCATGCAGGCGACATCCATGCTGAACAAATGGCTGCACCCGAATCCTATGCAGGAGACGTTAATGCAGATACGTCATGCACTTTAACGGTGCAATCAAGAGCACCAATTCCTGTGCCATGCTCTTCACGGTCGCAACCAGTTGAGGGCCGAAGTCAGCGATCACGGAAAACTCCAACATACCTTCAAGATTATGAATGCAATGCTATTGAAACACATAAATCTCTTCCTGCTCTTCCAATTCGTCACTTCTCATATGCAAGGTCAGGTATTAAATATCCATTATGTAATTCTCTTAGTTTATCTAAATTCTCTCCATCCCATCGTGCGTTTGTAGCAGCTATTGATGCAGGATGTGAGCCTCGCCATTTCAGAGAAGCCATGCAGAATTTGAAATGGGTCGAAGCTATGAGAAAAGAGATCACTGCACTAGAGGATAATGGGACATGGGCTGTCACGGTTTTGCCACCGAATAAAAGAGCATTACCTAGCAAATGGGTTTTCGAAATAAAATATCATTCTGATGGAACCGTGGAAAGATACAAGGCACGGTTAGTTATTGCAGGTAACCATCAGATAGAAGGCGAAGACTTTGGTGAGACTTATGCGTCTGTTGCAAAAATGACAAGCGTTAGAACTCTCTTGGCAGTTGCCGCAGCTAAGCAGTGGGAACTACATCAACTAGACGTGCATAATGCTTTCCTAAATGGAGAGCTTAGTGAAGAGGTGTATATGAAATTTCCTCCAGGATTTAGCAATGGAACAAAAGATCAAGTCTGCCGTTTGAAAAAGTCACTCTACGGTTTGAGACAATCTCCAAGAAACTGGTTTAGTAAATTGAGCTCCTCACTTATGAAATACAGTTTTCAACAATCTCATGCTGATTATACCTTGTTCACATTCCAAAGAGGTGGTATTTTTCTTGCTCTCCTGGTTTATGTTGATGATATAAGATGAAAACTTACCATACTTAAAAAAATAATAAAAGTAAAAAAAAAAAAATAGAAAAAAATCAAATATATCTGAATTAAAAAGAATAGTAGATTTACGATAAAAAAAATAAAAAAATCAAATATGTTACAGAAAAGAATAAATTAACAACATAGAAATAGTCTAATCGAAAAAAAATAGAGTGAAGCCAAAAAAAATAGAAGAAAAATAAGACAAAAAATATATAAAAAAAAAGAGAAGAAAAAGAAATATGTAAGTTTTCAATGTATTTGGTTTTATTTTTTTTTCTAATTTTTTTAATTATATATATATATATATATTTCACTTTTAGTTTTTTTATCACCCTTAAAAGAAATGAAAGAAAAAAGACAAAAAAGAAATAAAAGAAAAAGAAATCAGTTTGTAAATTTCCAACATCCTTAGTGTTATTATTTTTTTTGTCCTTAATCTATATTTTTATTTAAACAAGTTTCATTTTATTTATTATTATATTTCTTCTTTTACTTTTAATTTTTTCTACTAATGTTATAAGTTTCCAACATATTTACTTTTATTTATTTTTCTTTTTTTGCCATCCTTCTGTTTTCGTTTTTTGTCTTTTTTATAAATATTGTAAGTTTCCCTCTATTCATTTTTTGTTCACGTACATATATTCTCTTATTCTAAGAAGGGTATAATAGGTATACTAGTTAAGTTTTTTACGGTGTTAAAAGTAGACTTAGGGCTCGTTTGGTGAACAGGATAGGATAAGAGTAGGATATGATATGGGGCTGATAAGGATATGATATGATATGGGGCTGAGAAAGATAAGATATGATATGGGGCTGATAAGCCTATATCATATCCTGTGTTTGATGAGCATCTGATTAGCAATTTGATAAGATTATGTAAAAGGAGAAAGGAGAAAGAAAAAATAAAATATAATGTAATAAATACAAATATATTGGGTAGTGTGGGGATATATTGGGTATCTAATATTGATATTCTATCCTAATTAATCATAAACCAGCTCCCCTCATAGGATAAAAAATCATGTATTGGATAGGATCAAATGAGACAATAGGATAAGCTAATTATATCCTATTGACCCACCAAACAAGAGATAAAAGTAGGATATGATAAGTTATCCTATCCTATCTTCTTTATCATGTACTCCAAACAGGCCCTTAGATGAAAAAAACAATACGAGGTAAGTGATTAAAAAAAGCATAAGATTGAGAGTGATTCAAGCAAAATCATAAAGGAGTTTTTAAACTTTCCTCAATATTTTATATGGGTTCTTTTTTCTGCAGTGAATGCAGATAAGTTATCTCCGTTGAGTCCAAAAGGATGTTATTTTGGACAGAGATCAATGTGTTTTCGTAATTATAATTTATTCCAAGGTTATAATAGTCTTTATTATTATAATTGTTTAATTTTTCAACTTAAAACGACGTCGTTTTGTAAGTGAATATAGATAACTTATCTACAATCACTGCAAATAATCAATTCAACCCAAAAACTTAAGCTGATGGGTGAGGTTCCATAAATTATTTTATATATCTCTAATACGCCCTCTCACATGAAAGCCCATTGGACTTAAAGGGTGGACACTGCATAAGTCCACCTACCTGTGCTAAGAAACTCCACAAAACTTAATTAATTATTAATTGAATAGGGAGCGGTGAGGATCGAACCCGTGACAACCTGGCTCTGATACCGTGTAAAGAAACAATTCAACCCAAAAGCTTAAGCTGATGGATGAGGTTGCATTAATGATTTTATATATCTCTAACAATATTGAAGCCATTTTATATTTACTTAGCTAGGGAGGTATACTTATATTCGGTCTTAATTTTTCTTTTATTTCTTTTTTTACTTTCAATTTTTTATGCTACTACTATAAGTTTCAAACATATTTAATCTTATTTCTTATTTCTTTTTTTGTCATCTTTCTATTTTCATTTTTTGTCATCTTTCTATTTTCATTTTTTGTCTTTAATAAATGTTGTAAGTTTCCTTCTATTTTTTTTTGTCATATAAGTATATTCTCTTATTTTAAGAAAGGTATAATAGATAGATTAATTAAGTTTTTGATCGTATTAAGAATGGACTTAGATGGAAAAAATCATAAGAGGTGAGTAATTATAAAAAGGCTTAAAAGTGAAAGTGATTCAAGAAAAAACCATAGAAGGATTTTTGAACTTTTCCCAATATTTTATAGTTACTTAGCTCAAGGGAGGGTACAACTTATATTTACGTTAATTTTCTGAAGTGTTACCAATAATCCCCACAAGAACAAATACCCTCACTAAAGTGGTGAAAGCGGTGACAATCTCTCAAGATTATCAACCTTCCAACAATCTTGGATATGTGCTTGATGGCATTATGACAATCGTGACAAACACGCAAGTTTTTCATGACACGTATTGGTCTGCCAGCCGGTAGAGTTAGAATTCCAAATGCTACCGCCAATTTCTCACTGTGATACTTGAGCATTTGCGCCTTCTCCTCCACTTCTACGTCATGCAAAACCAACTTTGTTGAAGAAACATACCCCTTAAGCTTCATTTTTAGATCTAGCTCTTCTATGAAGGCATATATTCTATCTTTTTCTGGGTGGAAACAATCCCCAACAGTGAATATATGAATCTTGTTTTGTACCTCAACCCAACTATACCCAGGTAGTTTCTGAATACCAATATTCCTCATTTTTAATCTCATCTTACCAACATCAACCCATCTGCCTGAAACTGCATATAGATTTGAAAGAAGGACATACATTCCCGAGTTATGAGGTTCCAACTTAAAAACCATCTGAGCAGCCTTCTCACCAACTTCAATATTGCCATGAATACAACTTGCACCTAGTAGGGCTCCCCATGTTGCAGCATCTGGCTCAAAAGGCATGTTTCTCATTAAGTTTTGTGCTTCTTGTATGCGGCCAGCTCTACCAAGAAGATCGATCATGCAAGCATAATGTCTTGAATTTGGTGTTATACCATAATCCTTATTCATAGAATAAAAATATTCAGTTCCCCTCTCTATCAATCCAGTATGACTGCAAGCCGAGAGAACACCAACCTGAAACATGATTAGAAGAAGAATAAGCAGAATAATGTTACTCGTAGGAAAGAGTCAAAAGAGATGTTATTGCATTGCAAAACTGTATTATTATGAATGCCTCATTCCTAATTTATTTTCCGATGCTTTATGATTATGATTACATTTGTTAACAAGACAAGTAGGAAACCACATTAGCAACAATTAGCTCATTTGCACCTATGGAAAGAAAATTTTGCGGAAAGATAGGAATAACTTTAGAAATGAGGATACCAAATAGAGGAGGAAAACAAAGTGTAAACTGCATGACTCTTATCCATGCAGGGACGACCTATTTGACCACTTATGAGATAAATAAAGCTAAATGGTTTGCTAACACATTTGAGATATCCTTAGCAGTTGAATTTCTTGCCTGCATTTGGCCCATGGAGTATTTTAACTGAATTTTCCTATCAACGCTGAACTGAATATATAGACAAAGAAAGGCAAAGTAAAGACTCAAGAGACGGGCATGGAAAGAAGTTGCAGGCACGCAGCCTATTTGTATAAACTAAACGGTGGAGGAGAGGGAAGGGAAGCTCATAAAATTTATGGTATACTCTCCATTTCTCTTGCTCCATATGCATTTTTTTATTATTTAATTTACAAAGCATACAGCACCACATATGATTCATAGCTAAATAAGGGAATTCAACTTTTCCAACATAATATCAGACAAGTGGTGGGGCGGGGCTATCTTGCGCTACTAAAGACAACAAAATTGTATCAAAATGGTATCTTTCATACATAGCCTAAATGTAACCTCTAGCTTATTCTAGTCAGCAACATAATAATTCAGTAATAATCTATACCAGTTACTCAGGTTAATGACATTCTTAACACCATATATTATGGTGGTGTCAATTTCCTTTGGACACATGACAAAGTAACGACAAAAAGTAAATTACCAAGATGAAAATAAAAAGATCAGAAAAGAATAAGTTTTGTTCCCTTTATGGAAATTGTATTCAGACTAGATTGAGAGACTCGATATTAGCAACGCAGTCATTTCCTTACGAGATGGGTTTGATCACACTAACCAGGAGATTTTTAATCAGGAAATTAAGTCATAGACCGGCTATGTCTAAAATAAAATATAATATAATGAAGTGACTTATGAAGCACTAAAGACAGCAGTTCATCCAACACAACCAGATAATGAGTAGCTTTTCATGCATATGAAATGTATAAAATATATACCATGGTAATCTCATCAGGTTTAACACCTGCTGTCTTCATTAACTCAAATACCATTAAAGCTTGTCTGCCAAATCCATGCCTAGCATAACCAGCTAACATAGTGTTCCAAGAGATTATATCTTTCGGTTGTATTCCTTCAAACACATCATAAGCTTCATCTATGCTGCCACATTTACAATACATTCCAAGAAGTGCATTCCTCACTAAACACCCATTCCCATACCCTGTCTTTAACACCTGCCCATGAACTTGTTTCCCTAACTCCAGAGCAGAAATATCAGCACATGTACTCAAAGCACAACAAAAGGTAGGCCTATTAAAACTTTCTCCATTTCGTTTCATCTCCACAAGCATGTTGAATGCCTCTTCATAATGACCAGTCTGAGCATAATTAGCAATAATAGCTGCCCAAGATACACAATCACGCTGAGGCATCATATTAAACAATTTCCTTGCTTGAGCTGTATCACCATTCTGACCATAGCCGCTTATCATGATATTCCACGAGCCTGTATTCTGACAAGGCATTGCCTCAAACAAATCCCTTGCCAAGTCCATTTTCTTGTATTGCACATAACCGGCAATCATTGCATTGTATGATATCTCTGTTTTCTCTGGCATTTCATCGAAAATTCTTCTTGCTTCACCCAACATCCCATTCAGCACATATGCATGGATCATTGCTGTCCATGTGAAAACATCCCGCGACGGAGACTCCTCAAACAATCTCCTAGCTTGAGACACATCACCATCATGGGCATAACCTGAAATCATGGTATTCCAGGAGATTACATCCCTAACAGGCATTTGGTCAAAAAGCTGCCTAGCATCACCTAACACCTTCCTCTTCACATACCCACCTATCAAACAATTCCAAGAAATCAATTCCCAGTCTGATTTTGAATTAAATAGCAGACGAGCCTCCTCAAGTCTCCCATTTTGAACATATGTTGCAAGCAAACCATTCCAGGAGATGGAGTTCTTATCAGGCATCTCATCAAAGAACTCCTTTGCCTCGTTAATGTACCCATTCCGGACATAGCCAGACAACATTGCATTCCACGAAACAACATCCTTTTCGGGCATTAAATCAAACAACTTGCGGGCCTCACCAAGTCTGCGGTTCTTGACATATCCAGTAAGCATCACATTCCAAGAAAACAAGTCCCTTTCAGGCATTTTTTCAAACAGGTCCCTTGCACGATTGAACTTGCAGTTCCTCAAGTAGCCAGATATCATGACATTGTAGGATACAGAGTTTCGACGAGGCATGGCGTCGAAGACACGGAGAGCCAAGTCGCAGTGGCCATTGCGCATGTGGGTAGAAATAGCCTTGGTGCATTTGGCAATGTGTGGGTCTTTGATTTGGGGTTTTGGATATGACGATGAATACCTCGGTGGTTGAACTTGAAAGTTGCAGCTACGTAACTGTCTCGAGTTATAGTTCCGGCGCATAGTTTGCTTATGTCAAATGGAGTTTCTTCCAAGTGCAGCTAATCATCACACTGCGGAACCCAATAAAGAAAGGGAAAAAGAAGTATAATATTGTAGGAAGATGTTTAGGTAATGTTATAGAGATAGAGATGGTGGGACCCATCCTTGTTTTCAAAAACCAAAAAAATAAACAAGTATGGGTCCCACCATCTCTATCTCTATAACATTACCTAAACATCTTTCTACAACATTATACTTCTATTTCGCATAAAGAAATTACTGAAATAATTAACAGTTTTTGGTAGGATCACACTTTGGTTCGGCTTGAGTTGATGTAATGTGTGATTGCAACAACTTATTTTCCTGGATGCGTTTGTTTCCGAGAGAAATATAGTACCGACCACACTTTGGTATTTTCCTTACTCCTTGTTAAATTTATTTTTAATTACCTACTATTTTTAACAGTGATTTGTATTTATCATTTCACAAGACAGAAAAAAGTTTCTTACACACAAAATATTTTATAGGGTCCACACTTTTTGAAACAAAAAAAAAAAATAACTACAACACGCAAAACGAATCTCTATAACATTACACAATTATTTTTCTTACAACTTAACTCTTATAAAACCCTTTTTAATATATGTTATGTTAGAGTGGAAAAAGATTCTAATTCCTTAAATAATATGTATGAAAAAATTAAGGATGTATCATGTTGTAGGAAATTGGCTTTGTCGTGCTATAAACACAACCAATGTGGACCCCACCACATTCTTTTCTTTTCTTTTTATTTTAAAAGTGGAGGAGTCCACATTGGTTGTGTTTATAGCATGACACAACCAATTTCCTGTAACATAATAAAACTATTTTTCAAAAAAATATTATATTATTGGATGGGTCCCTACATTTAGAATAAATTTTTGGTACTACTATACTAAAGATTCACTACATCCCACCAATAAAAATATTACATGTCAGTTAAATTATTTTTTTTGTCAATTTTTTTTTTCTCCTCTAATGTGTAATATTCTCGTTGATAGAATATACTGAATCTAAGTACAACAGTAACACCAAAGATTTATTCCTGTATGACCATATTCTTAGATATTAATCGTCTTTCGTGTGGAGGAGACACTAAAAATTAAAAAATAATTAAAATTACTGTTAGGTAATGGTAATTGGCAGCTAAAATTAATTTTATACTTTTATTGGGCATGCTGCGTCTCCCATTTAAGTATATCATACATTCTCTTAATAAAAAGAATATAAATTCATATAATAATTTAAAATGTTCTAAATATTATATCAATAATTTATTCATTGATCCAATCAAACATTTTAATTTATTCATTTAAAATGTTCTAAATTGAAATAAGATAATATATTTTTTTATTTCTCCATGACTTTATTAATTATCCGATTAATTCAATTAGAGCTTAGTCGGGTACTTACAGAAAGAAGGTGGATCTTTCAAGACAATTTTCTTCATTTATAGTGCTTGAATGTTTAAGGAAATAAACTCTTTATGTAAATCCCTAAAAAAATATTTTGAATTTATTAGTTAAAAAAAATATTGTTATGAATTATTACATGTGAATGCTATTATTTTGGATTTCTTTTAATAATCTTTTGATGATCATCCTTAGATACCTCTCAGAACATTTAATGTATATAGACCATGTGAATTGTTGTTTTTTTATTTTTTATTGATGAGGAGGGCTTAAGCTCAGCACTAAACAGGGGAAATTACAGGTCGCCTACTTGCGATTCTATCCAAGTCTAACAACGGCCTAAGACCAATAGGGCACTGATTGTGAAGAAAGTGTCCCTCAACAGAATGAGAAATGTATTTGGCCAGCCAATTTGCACAAGAATTGTGGCAACAGTGATTGATCAATGTGCCACATTTTTTTCAGAGTGATATATCAAACTGACAGGCTAATAGTAAAAAATAAAAAATGGTTAAAGAGGATATCCCAATCTTTGTCGCATCAGTCCTTAATGTGTGCCACTAGTTGAGGGTGACTTAGGTTTTTGTGATGCGCATAAAACATGGTCACTGTAGCACCGATATGACACGCGACACGTGACACGACACTCTGACAGGTCAATTTTAAAAAATTATGGATTTTGACACGTTGGGACACGTTTTAATATTAAATAATTTTTTTAATTTATATAGTGTATATTTCATTTAATATTTAATAATTTAACAAAAAAAATGAAACTAAATTAATAATACCGATCAACACGTTATAAAGATGGAAGTTTTAATAAAAAAAATAAGAACTGGGATGAGAGAGATATATAATATTAGATAGAGAGATTAAATCATATTAGAGAGAGATCAGAGAGAAGGAGATACAACAAGAGCGTAATAGGAATTGACAATAATGATGCTGAGATGATCTCTTATCTACTTAAGGGAAAAAAAAGACAAAAAAATAAAATCGATATGATCAAGTGGAAGCTTTATTAATATATTTCAATTTTTTTAAATAAATTTTTTTAAAAAAAAAAATTACAAAAAAGTCATTTGACCGTGTCGGGCACGGTCAAATTCGCGTGTCGGAATGGTCAACGTGTCGGAAAAAGTTGACCGCATGTCCGACACCGTGTCGGAGCGTGTCGGACACGACTCTCCCTGTTTTTACAAGTGTGCGTGCTTCCTTGGTCACAACTAGGGGTGTGCATGGGTCAGGTCCGGTCAGTTTTTGTGCGGATTCGATCCAATTTGGTTGTTATAGGTCAAGTATTTTGACCGACCCATTTTAATTTGATCCAAGTAGGTGTGACTTGGTTTGGATTTTTTTTTTAACTAGTTCAGAACCGGGTCGGATCTGACCTGACTTGGTTTCTGAAGTGGGTCAAATCCGACCTGACCCGTTTTTGACTTGGTTTCAAAACATGTTTTTAATTTGATTTTTTTACAGTTATTGATTTATTTTTTAAACTCATGTAATTTAGCTATTTATTTGTTTTAAAATATATAAATTTTATAATAAATTTGATATTTTTTGAATAAATAAAAGAACATAATTTTAAGTCCCTGTACATGTGAAGCAAAATTAATGAAAAGTAAGGGATGAGAGAACGTTCTTCCCATCTTAAGATGACAAATCACTAATTTTAATAATACTAAAAAAGATCATATTTTTGATAAAATTTCTACGTTGCAAACGACGAAAATTTCGTCACAAAATTATTTTTTCGTCGGAATATTTTTTGTCGAAAAGCGACGAAATTTCTTGTCTAATGAAAATTATTACAAAAATAAATTTTTTATCGAAATTTTCGACGGAATTTAGTTTCCGTCAAAATTTTTGACAAAAATGATTTCCTCCACCAAATATTTTAAACGAAAAAAAAAATTCATCAAAAATTTAGACGAAATATTTTTCGTTTGAAATTTCGATGAGAATGTGTTCTGACGAAAATTTCGACGGAAATTGTTTTGAGGGAAATGTTTCATTCGAAACTTTCGACGAAATTTAGATTTTCAAAAGAATTTTGACAGAATATTATTTCTGTCAAATTTTTTTATCGAAATATTTTTTGTCAAAATTTTTTACTAAAATTTTTGACAGAAATGTGTTTCCGTTGAAAATTTTGTTGGAAATATTTTTTATCAAAAAAATTGACTAAAATATTTAGTCGAAAATTTTCGATGGAAATGTGTTTCGCTAAAATTTTGATAAAAAAATTTTGTTGTCAAAAAGTTTAACGAAAATGTTTCCGTCATAAATTTTCTCCGAAATTTGAATTCTGTAAAGAATTTTGTTGAAATTTTTTTCCGTCAAAAAATTTCGATGGAAATGTGTTTCGTCGAAATTTTTGATGAATATGTTTTTTTTGTTAAATTTTTTGACGAAATTTAGATTCCGTAAATAAATTTGACAAAAAAAAAAATTTCCGTCGAATGATTTTACAAAAATGTATTTAGTCATAAATTTTGATGAAAATATTTTTCGTCAAATTTTTTGCGAAAATTTTTGATGAAAATATTTTTCGTATAAAATTTTGACGTAATTGTTTTACGTAAAACTTTTCTTTTAACGTAATTGTGATTTTCTTTTTCTATCTTTTTTTCACATAATAAGTGTATGTCAAGTTTTGGGTCAATGGATCATTATTAAAACAAGTCAAATTTAAAATTGATTCAAATAAAAATGGGTCAGTATTTAATTCTAGTTCAAAAAATTAAATATTTATGGATCAGGTCAAAATCAGATTAAACAGTGAACCAATTTTTTTGCGCATTCTAGTCAGACACAACATTACTAGAGTCACCTTCCACTACCAGTTTACGAATTCCTTTGCTCCAAACTAGCTCCGGTCCCTTTAAAGCTCCCCATAGCTCAGCAGTTAAAGAGGAGCATCTCCCAATGGCATAGGAATATCCTCCTGCCAAGCTCCATGCTGATCTCGGAGGAGACCACCACAAGAAACCTCAGATGTGTCCAGCGGCGGAGCTAGGATTCTGAATTTTGGGGAGGGGGTGAAAATAAATTTTTGTAGGGCTACGGAACTCTGAATGAAATAAAATTCTTAAAAGTAAAACCAACGATGGAGTAAAACCCAACTAAAATTTGATAAAAGAGAAACCAAGCTCCCCTAAGTAGCCACGCTCTTTATCTACGTGATTCATAGAGAAAGGTGAAAATGGTTATTACCTCTGTGTTTTTTGGTGTAGTACAATGAAGAGTAAGCAATAGGCGAAAATGTCAGAGTGCTTGTGGTAAAGGATGTCCAAGCATGATGGGACTTTTATTAGATTTTGGAATTAGTTATCTTCAACAGGTAAAAATGCAATTGGCTCGACCCTCTATGCTTTCTTGGAATAGTTCCAAACTTCCAGAGTCACTATAAAAACTGTAACACGATATGTAAAAATCTATATTAATCGTAAGCAGTATTAGTTACAAATGAGAAGGAAGTATATACATCAAAGGACTAAACAACCCCATACACTAATTTGAGCCACTGAAATAGTGATATCATCAATATTTCCTCCCTTATGATTACCTCCTTCCCTCTGAGA